TGTGTGTGTGTGTGTGTGTGTGTGTGTGTGTGTGTGTGTGTGCCGGGGTTTGTGCATGCACAGTTTTTATGTGGATACTGGAGATCCTTGTGTTTACACTGCAGATGGTTTTTATCCCCAGCACAACCATAAGCCCAGCCTGCCTGACTTGCTTTCTTCCTTTCCTCTTCTTTTCATTCTTTGCTATGTACCTTGCTTAGTTGAGGGCCCCAGATCCTAGGAACTGTAGTTACTGGCAGTTGTAAGCTCTCCAGCTTGGATACAGGGAGCTATATCTTATTCTCCTACAGGAATAAGTGCTCTTCTCTACTGAGCTGTCTCCCCAGCCCAAAATTGCTAATGGAAGTGCCTACATTAAGTCTATGGAAGTGTTTCTCAAACATGAAGTTCTAAAGATCCTCCTAGGTCAACCACGACATCTGTTCTAAAGTTTCTTAGGATGGAACAAACTTAGGATGGATATAGAAGACATTACACATTCATTTAAAAAAAAAGCCTGTAGCAGATTTCTAAACCTCCCGCTGTTTCTCTTCACCTCTATATCCCAGGTGCCCATACTTTACCACAAAACCCTGTGCCTGACACCAACTGGCCAAGGTGAATAAAATACGAGAATGTGCAGTGCTCAGGCCTATGAAGAAGGATAGGAACAATAGGATGGGCTAGAGGCAATGGATCACAACATGTCTCTGTATTTCTCAGTCTGGATTTCACCAGCCCTGTTTCCATCTCTGTGTCCCTGCACTGTGGACTTATTGACTAGACTCTGAAGCTCCTCCACCAAACACAATCTTCCTCCTGATTCACTGCTCCACACTCCATTTCTCCATCCCAAAACCCTTCATGGTGCTCAGATGGAAATGCTCAAGAACTTCCCAAGGCTTTCCACTGTTGAAGAGCAAACTTGACTGGTGTGACAAACAGGAAGTTCATGGAGATTCATGTTATTTTACTTTCTGCAGCTACACATACTATGCCCACACACACTGCTTTCCTGGAAGATGGGATAAATGATAAATTTTATCCAGAGAAAGCTTCTGCATGACACACTAGGGCTTCCCATAGTGCCTCATATATATACTCGGGAATATAATATGCTGTAATCCCATGTAGATTGTGACAGTATCTCCCTATTTTCTCCTCAGCTGCAGAGTCAAGGCCGAGACCTCAAAAGCTATCCATAGTGAATCCTCTCGCTGAATTCCCTGATGATGCCTGGGTCACATTAGAAAAATAGCTACACTTGAGTTCTGTGGTTTCAGGTAACCATCTCTCAAATACCATTCCTCAGGGGCCCTGCTCCCAGCTATTCTGAGAATTTCACAGCTTTGGACTTGGAGTTTCATAGACTACACACACACACACAAATGTTCCCCTATAAGATGCACAGCCCAGTACATTTACCAGAACCTATCTTCCTACATCCCTTCCCACTACCGACATTCCCACTGTTCTTACTCAAAAGAATACTAGAAGCTTCTCTAGTGCCACACCATGGCTGAAAGAGCAGAATTTCAAACACGTTGAACAAAGGATTTGCAACTCCTTGATCCCTGTAATCATTACTTTCTTCCTCCCAACTCTTGCCTCGTCACCATGACTACTTGCACATTTCACCCACTGGAAGGATTTGAGTAAGCTTATGGGGTCTGTTTGAAAAATGTTCTCCAGGAAAGGCAGAAGCCATTGTCCAGGAGAGACACAGTCCTTGAGCTGAAGCAACCCCGGGTTCAGACTAGCAAGATTCGGAAGAAGGCAGATTGCCATGGTATTCCTTGGCATGTTGCATATTCCTCTTTTGCTTGAAGGGCAGACTGCTCTGTCTGTTGTCTTATTTATGTAGTTGGTGGAAGGTGATATGCCGGGTAAATCTCCTGGTAACTCTGCCTATCGTGCTACAGGGAGCTTGATGAGGCAAATGGAAATTTAATATCTCAGAGGTGAATTAAGAGCTGCCTGTTGATTAGCCAATGCTTCTCAGACACATCTTTCTAGGTGTTAGTGTTAAATAAATGATGCTTCCCATAAGTACCTGCCTGTCCCACCAGTGTGGTGTTTAGAAGCTAAGTTTCATGGCTCAATGCTCAAAGGGTGGCTTCCAGACACCTGTCAAAAGGTATCAAGATAGTAAGAGCACATGACTCATAGAACTGGGGTCAACCTGGACACTTTGGGGATGGGGATTTACTCTGGTTATCAGAAAAGTGTGAAAGAGATGAGAGACAGAGAAGGTTCGAGTACACATTGGGCAAGTTTAAGGAACAATGGGTTTTGTCACTTTATTGAGTTGTTTGTTTACTTATTGGTTACACTCCTATTATATTAAACATTTGGCACTAGCCACCTGCTGTTCCAGGTTCTCATAGTGGAGCAGGGAATAAAGAAACAAGTTGTCCCCTCATAAACCTGACATGGATGGGATGGGATTTGCAGCAAGAAGCTCTTCTGGAAGGGACTTAAGGTAACTGGCAATTGAGAAATCGCAGGTAACAATGACGAGGTGTCCAGGAGACTGGGTAGTGTGATAGACGCTCTTCAGTGTTAACTTGACTGTATCTTGCATCAACTACAACCCAAGCTGCTGGGCATTCTATGAGGGACTTATTGACCACACCTTCTGGCTGTCAGCACACATTAAAGCAAGTAGTTGTGCATTGTTGCCAAGAAAGATCATGATAAAAAGCATTTGAATGTGTGCGTCTGTGGACTGCAGAACACAGGAACCTAGATAATATAGTTTGAAATAAAAGACACACAAACACCAAAGATCACATGCCATGTCATTTGGCTTTGTGAACCATACATTTTAGGAAAATCTATAGAGGCAGAATTCAAATCACATACAGAGTTCGTTGGATTAGATTATAGAGCATTGGGAGCTGATACATTGGGACTGTGGGTTTTTGAGGAATAGGGGGATGATTCAGCATGAGATGTGGCCTCTGTGTTCACACATCAGGAGAGGTACTTGATTTATATCTCCAGTGGCTTTCACAGGGCCAAAACCACCTCATGGATTAGGAGAAGCTGCAAGTAAGATGGAAGAGTGTGAGCAGTGATCTAGGGCCTGGTTTCCAGCAGGTCTCTCAGGGGAAGAAAGAAGGGTCCGCTCTCAACAGGACTGGAGACACCACCTCAGCCAAGTTATCGGGCCAAGAAGCAAATCTGGTAGTCTGGGGGCACTCTTCCAAAGCCATTCTCCTTGGGACTGAGGTCAATGTCCTTGGGAGCCATGGGACTGGACAGAGAGAAGTTCTGGAGGAGGGTGGTGAAGAAAAGGAACAATTCGTTGCGGGCGATGCCTTCTCCAAGACAAATGCGCTTTCCTGTGGGCAGAGAGAAAGAGTCATGTGAGCCCCAGAGCATGTACAAACATTGGACTGTACCATTGCTAAACAAAAGAACTCTGCCAATTGCAATGAAAACAGATGTGTTTGACCATCACCTGCAATTTCAAGGAGAGTAGTAAGAAATTTTCCAAACCATAAAGAATTGGTGCAAGGGCCAGTGACACATCCCAGCACAGAAAGCCACCCGCTATCAATGCTGATGGCATGAGTTCAATACCCTGGTCCCACATGTTACAGGAGAGAAGCAACTCCCACAAGCTGTCCTGTGATATAAACACACACACACACACACACACACACACACACACACACACCAGCACCACAGCATACATGTCTATGAATATATCCATATACACAATAAATAAATAATTCGTAACATGGGTGTTGATGGATGTCTCGTGGTCACTTCTGACACATTTGTGCATTTTGTTAGGTTACCAGAATCCTTTCTTCCAGATCTGTATGAACCTACTTATAATAGAAACCAAATGTGAATGTGTACACCAGCATTATGCAACATTTTTTAGTGTTCCTCCTTTTCCATGTGATTGGATTGGTACCTAAAAATGGCTGCCCAAAGAGTGTTTAGAAAGACTTGTAGATTAACAACTAGATTGTGTTATGAATCCTATATAAGCTAGACATGAAGGCACATGCCTGTAAATGCAACCACTGGGAGACTGACACAGGAAAATGCTGGGTTCAGAGCAGCCTGGACTACATAGCAAGACCTCTGTGTGGGAGTCTTTTCTGTCTCTCCTCTCCTTCCCTCTGTTCTTCCCCTCTACTGTTTACAACCACAATTGTATATACAATTGAC